TGTTGTAGAGAGTTGGTTGGGCAGGGCCTCAACGGTCTCCTCTAGAAGCTGGCTGCGACTGACACAGCCATCCCCCTTCCCTGCCACCAATAGGGAGGAAGATGGCACTCAAGAGCTGAACTGGCCCTTCTGAGCAGGGCTCTCAGAACCTGGCTGGGTGATTGTGCTGCCCAGAGTGGGCACGAAGAGCCTCTGGCGCTATGTGCCTGCTCCTGGGGCCTGGAGGGGACATGGTCTGAAAGTGAGGAACATGGGGGAAGGCACCCAAGGTAAGCAACAACCTGCATGATAATTCATTGCACTACCCCCATGTTGGGCAGGGCAGCCTTTTGATTTGGAGTTAAAAGTGATTTGTTCTCCTACGGCTTTAGGCTAGGAGCAAGTACTCCGGGGTTTCCAGCAGCCAGGCAGGGAGCAGCAGCAAGTGGGTAAATGCCTGGAGGAGCTGCCTGGGGCCAGGGCTCGAGGGTCCCTAGTTCCAGCAGCTGTTGCACCCTCAAGTGTGGCCCAGGGAGGGCCCACATTCTATGTTTTGAATAAAAAAAGCAAATATAGACTTTAGTTTGATCTGAATTTTATAAGTTGACAACTAAAGAAAAGATAGTCTATGTCTGTGGTCCAATCAAAACCTGTCCACCGTGGGTTTGACTTCAGGTCAGTGGGTGTGCTCTGTACAGACTACGCCACCTCTGAGGGTTCATGCTTGCCCTTGGGAGGTGTGTTGTATGTGTGTGTGTGTTATAGAGAGGGAGAGAGAGAGAGAGAGAGAGAGAGAGAGAGAGAGAGAGAGAGAGGTTACTGCTCACACCCAGAGGCATAGAGGGGAAAAGAGGGTCCCTCTCCCACCTGCCCTGGTGGAGGGAGCACACAGGCTGACCTGAGCGCCGCCCCCGCCCCAGCCTCTCCGGGCAGAGTCCTCAGCTTGTACCTGGGTGGGGAGCAGGCTGCTGGGGAGGAGGCTGGGGATCCGGGGACAGGCACTGCAGACTCCAAGGGAGGGTGGGTGGTGAGTGATTTGCATTATAAAGAGTCTGGGAAGGATCCCAGGGAAGGACTTACCTTTGGGCTGCTTTTCTCTTAGAGCAGTGGTCGGCAAACTCATGAGTCAACAGAGCCAAATATCAACAGTGCAACGATTGAAATTTCTTCTGAGAGCCAAATTTTTTAAACTTAAACTATATAGGTAGGTACATTGTTATTAACTTAATTAGGGTACTCCTAAGCTGGCCTTTGCTAAAAACGTCCTCAGTCTGATTGAGGTAGGTTTGCTGAGGTCGACCCCTTCCAACTCTCCTATCCATATTCGTCTTGTATACAGTGGGTCCTTGACTTATGAGTTTAATTCGTTCCGTGACGGAGCTTGTAACTCAAATTACTCATATGTCAAATCAAAAGTGAACGAGTGAGACACGTGACGCTGGGCTGATGTTGTGGCGTTCACTGTGAGGTTTGCTGTGCCGGCTAGCGGTGGGGTAGCTGAAGCTGGCTCGTAACCAGAATTTTAGCTAGCAACTCAGCAGAAATTCAGCCAAGAGACGGCTCGTATCTCGAAAAACTCGTTAGTTGGGACGCTCGTAAGTCAAGGCCCCACTGTAGTAGTTGTGGATATTAAAAATCAAATTGCTGAGCTCCAGTCCCAGAGATTCTGATAAAAATCGGCCGAGAGATGGCTTGTATCTCAAAAAACTCGTTAGTCGGGACACCCACTATACTTGTTTCGTCTATCTCCTTTCATTCATCCTCTCTATATGTCCAAACCATCTCAACATCCTCGACACTACATCTTCTTTCACTTCACAACGTTCCCTAAAATTAACTTAATAAACTTTACTTAACGTTTTAAGTCAACCTCGCACTGTATGTGTGCACCCGCATGTGGTATTTTGTGGAAGAGCCACGCTCAAGGGGCCAAAGAGCCACATGTGGCTCGGGAGCCGGGGTTTGCCGACCGCTGTCTTAGACCATGGGACCACTCCCCCCCCAGCTGCCCAAAGGGAGGCGGTGCTTGAAGGGATGGAAAATCGTGTGGGAGCTTCAGATGCCCGCTCAGGGTCTTTGTGAGGAGCAGTGAGGTGCAGCTGAGCAGAATCTGCACCTCAATCCTCTGCTGGGAGATGCCAGGCTCTGGGTGGGGGCTGGGCTCAGGGGCCCTCCTGCCCGCACCCTCCTGCCCAGCTGGGAGAGGGGCTCTGCTGCTCTGAGCTTACCTTGGGGACAGAGCACAGCCTTGAGGTGCAAGAGCTGTCACCGACCCTTTTGACCCCCGCTCCCACCCCGTGTTGTCTGGCCATAAGTAAGATGTGCGGGCCGCAGGGTGTGCAGCACAGACAGACGTGTGCTCCTGCCTCCTGGAGCGGAGGAGCAGGGCAGGGGGGAGAGCGAGCCAGGGTGGGCACAGGGCCTGGCATGAATGAGCGGCTCAGCGTGGGGTTTGGCCTCCCCCTCACCAGCTCATTTCAGGGCCAGAGGATTCTGAAGGCGTTTTCTTCCTTTGACTTTCACGGTCGCTGACAATGCGGCGAGAGTCCCGGCCTGCCACCTGCGCCGTCTGTCCGTCCTGTGCTCCTGTGGGCCACGCCAGTGGCACATTCTAGTTTGTGCCCCTGCCCCTCCCTGAGCCACAGAGAGGGCCCGCCCAGGAGCAGAGCCAGCCACAGGGTGGGGTGAGCACGGTGGTCAGGAGTGTGGTCCCAGAGTCACACGGATCTGCTTCCTGTCCTTACTAGTTGGGATGACATTGGACAAGGCACCAAGTCTCCCAGGGTCCCAGTGTCTGCTTCTACCTGGAGGGGCAGTAACTCCAGCCTCACAGTGTTGGGCCGAGCTGAGACCATGTGTGGGAAGTGCCTGCTCAGGGAAAGTGCGCAGGGAGGCCAGCTGCTATCACCACCGCATCACTGGCTTTTTCTTTCTTTTAATCCTGGTCCGAGGAGAAGTTTTATTGATTGTAGAGAGAGAGGGACACACACAGAGAGAGGAACATCAATGTGAGAGAGAAACATCGATCAGTTGCCTCCTGTATTCTCCCTGACCAGGGATCGAACCCACAACCTAGGTATGTGCCCTGATTGGAAATCGAACCTGCAACCTTTTGCTGTACAGGACGACGTTCCAACCAACTGTGCCACGCGGCCAGGGCTGCCATCATTGTCTTGCTGGTGATGATTGCCTTCTAGGTCACCCCTGTGGGTGGCACAGTCCCCTGCCCCCTGGCCTTGCCCTCTCCCCCTGCCACACAATTCTCCAGGAGACTGTGTATGAGGTAGAGCTGGCGAACAATCGGGAAGAGCAGGACTTCTCAGAGGCTGGTAGCTCTTTGGATTGGCCCAGCTCAGTGCCCTGGGAGTGTGTCTGGGTCCTTACCCTATAAGCCTGGGCTGTGCTCTGTCCCCGAGCCTGGAGGCCCTGGTCGTTGCGGGTCACAGCGGTGAGGCTGGGATCAGTCTCTGCAGCATCTACCAGCAGCAGGAGGGCCCAGGGCGGGGAAGGGGCTGTGCTGCTGGGCTCAGCCTGGAGATGGCACTCAGCTCTCCAGACATATCTCGTGGGGAGAGGACATGGGAGAGAGGCTGGCTGGGCCCTGGAGGTGAGGTGCGTACTTTCCCTTAAAAAAAAAAAAAATTGTATTGATTTTACAGAGAGGAAGGGAGAGGGATAGAGAGTTAGAAACTTTGATGAGAGAGAAACATCGATCAGCTGCCTCCTGCATACCCCGTACTGGGAATTGAGCTCATAATCAAGGTACATGCCCTTGACCAGAACCGAACCCGGGACCCTTGAGTCTGCAGGCTGACGCTCTATTCACTGAGCCAAACCGGTTAGGGTCCCTTTTTGATTTCAGCTACAAAGTTCCCGAACAGAGAGCATTTCCCTCTTAACTATCTCCTAACCGTTTACACGGGGAGAATAAAGGGGCCCTTGGATTGCCCCACCCTGGGAGGGGTCTGCCCTGGCTGCAGCTGCAGCTCTGTGGAGACATGCACTCAGGGCCTGGGAGTGTCAGTCAAGGCCTGTGTGGTCTCACTGGCCCCAGAGAGAGCCACAGCCTCTTCAAGAAAGAGACAGGACTGGCTCAGGGCAGTGCGGGCATGGGGCTCCCTGCCCTGCCTTCCCGCCCTGCTGCTGCCCACACCAGGCCGCTCCCCTCCCAACACAGGCTCCCACTGCGCACTGACAGGGCATTCCAGGGACAAGACATTTGCTCTGGCCTGATCGTTAGATTTGTGTCTACAAAGGCAAAAAGGTGGCCATAGTGAGTTAATGGGCGAGGCATTTGTTTTCACATGAGATCTCACAGTGATTTTCCATTTTACTCCTCTTACCCTTCCCTTCCCTTCACCTACTTCAGTCCTTGTTGTATTACTCAGGTTCCTCAGATAACAGCCAGTAGGATAGACAGCGGCCCCTCGAACACTGCGAGGCTTCAGGGCACTGACACTCCATGCAGCTGAAATCCTTTTTATTCCCCCAAAGCTTACCTACTGATCGCTTACTGGGATCAGAAGCCTTGTCGACAAGAGTTGATTAACACATAGTGTCAGGCACCCGGCTAAGTGCTGAGCGGGCAGTAGCCAGTAGTTTTCATAAAACTTCCAGTCTAATCAGGGAACACAGACTTTAAACAAGCTCAACGATAAGTAAATATATAAGTAGAAGTTGAGGTAAGTATTACCAAAGAAAAATAAATGCATGTGAGAGAGAAAATTAAGGGAGAAAATAATTTTAATTTTTAAAATTATAACAAGTATTGCAACCGAGTACATAGGTGAAACAACAAATTGATGTTTCTCTCTCTCCCATTCTTTCTCTTTCTCAATAAATAAAAATTAAAAAAATGATAAATATTAATGAGGAAGAAATTGGAACCGATGCACAGAGGATGGGCATATAAAATGGTGCAGCCACTTTGGAAAACAATTTGGCAGCCCATCAAAATGCGAAACAGAGTTAACATTTGACCCAGCAATTTCACTCACTCCCCTAGGTATATACCCAAGACAACTGAAAACATATGTTTACGCAAAAAACTTCTCCACAAATGTTCACAGCAGCATTATTCACGGTGGCCAACAAGTGGAATCAGTCCAAATGTTCATCAGCTGGTAAATGCGTAAACAAATGCAGTAAATCCACACCCTGCGGTCCTTCAGCCTCAGAAGGAAATGAAGCTCCCATTCAAGGTGCAACACGGGTTAACGTGGAAAACACCATTCATGCTAAACGGAAGCAGCCGGACACACACATTGCATGATTCCATGTATGCAAAATGTCCAGAATAGGCAAATTCATGGAGACTAAAAACATAAGTGGTTGCCCCGGGGCTGAGCTGGGAAGGGGGAGTGACTGCTAATGTAGCGGTTTCTTTTTGGATGGGAAATATTTTGGATGATGAATCATAGTTATTTTAAAATTTATTTCAGGTGACTCTGATATCTGATCACTTGTAGGTATGTTTCTATTGTCTGAATTTTCTCTTGATCCCGTTTCTGGTGTGCCTGTTCATATTTAATCCTGGGCATCGGTATTGAAAATGCAATGTGGTGCCTCTACATGACATTACGGGCTGTCATCCCCAGCAGTGATATCGACTAAGAATAGGCATTTTTAATTTTGTCAGGGGCTGCGGGGCCCTTAGGCTGAGCTCCAAACTCTGTAAGAATTGATCTGCTTCTGCCGCACCCCCTCTTTTATAGGCTATTCTCTTTTCATCCCAAACCGGTAGTAGTGATCACAGTGTCTTCCTATGTGGGTCAGGAACGCCGCTATTTATTTCCCTGACATACAAAGCTCTGATACATTGCATTTCAGATGCTTTGCTTGATTTCTTGGCCCAAAGCCCTGTGCTGTGAACAACAGGCCGACATCTCGGGATGCCGGAGAACAGGCGCTGTGGGTTGAATTTTTTGCACCCGTGTACTTTTGCGGACTTGGACCCCTCACATTGTCGCAGCAAGCTAGTCCCCCAGCTTGTGTCCTTAGAGCAGCGGGACTGCAGGAAGCTCTGCTGGCCTCTCCACACCGGGAGCCTCTCAGCCCACCTGTGTCCACGCCTGAGGTGGACTGAGGGCTCTCCCAGGAGGGGGAGTGCTGGGGACCCCGCTCCCCGCAGAGCTCACCTTGCCCGGCTGGCCGGGCTGTGGGCGTGTGAGACTGCCTCTCCTGGTGTCTAAAACGAGCTTTTCATTTTGTTCTGCTCTTTTGATTTATTTTATTTTGAGTTGCCCTTGGTGAGAGCCTTGTCTGCTGTGGGCCGCTCTGTCCTAGTCGAAAGCAGAAGTCCTCCAGAGCTTATATTTGGACACAACATTTCTTAGTTTTTCCACTCCAGCAGAACGCCATCTAGTTTTCATAAAAATATGCCCGCAAATAAAAAATCTGATGAGATACACACACAGACATACACACGCATACTTCATATAAACTATACCGTGACTTCCTACTTTTACTGCACGCATCAAAAAACTTGCTCTGGATATTTTGAAGTAATGGTCTAAGTCCACATTTAAACACCAGCAGGAAACCGCCACCGCGCTATGTCCGGTGGTAAAGGCCTTCGAGACACGCAGAGAGAACCGGTCTCCTGGGCCCGTGAGCACCACCGCTGGGCTCTGGCCCAGGCCCTCCAAGGGGCTCTGAGGATGTCCTCGCCGTGTGTCACAGCTGTGTCCTTGGAGTGTGTCTGCTTCCCCCAAACGCCTCCATCTGCAGACCCTTCCCCGGCGCTGTGAGGAGGAGGGAGTGTGGAGCTGGGTGGGAGGCACCTCAGTTCCCAGCACAGGGAGCCATGTCCGCCCCACCCGCCGTCCTTCCCGCCCCATATCTGTCTCCCTTCCTGGATCAGGGCTGTCTCCGCAAAACCTCCCACTGCCTCTCCTGTCCGGCTTCCTTTGGGCCTGCACGGGCTTGGGAACCTCCGTGGACCTGACCTGCCACCGCCCTCACCCAGCCTCCCCCTGGGTCATACCACGGTTTTGGAAGTTGCATGTCACTCGTGCTTCCACGCCTCTTCAAGCCTGAGCTCTTCATAAAACACTTCTCCCTTCCTGCCCTCCGCCTCTCCCACTTGCAGACGCTGCCTCAGGGAGGCCTTCTGGGATCTCTGGCTGGGTGAGCTGGAGGTCCCCGTGGCGTTCCCTGCCCAGGTTGCCGTAAATGGTGTGTTCACATCTCACTTCAGTCGCCGGGAGTCCTTCCGCCCCAGCCCCAGCCCCAGCCCCAGGAGTGGCCCTACTGTGGGATGTGCTGTGAGAGCCAGCCGCTTCCCGCCACAGGGCGGGCACTGGCAGGCCTGAGGAGCCAGAGGCCTGGGCTCAGGAGCGGGGCTCTGCTGAAGCAGGATTGCAGAGGCTTGCAGTGGGGGAAGGGAACTGAATGTGGGTCCGCAGCACAGGCAAGTCTGGGATGGTAGGTATGACCCCAGGGCTCCAGGGTCAGGACGCAGCCTGGGGAAAGCATGGCTTCCGCCTGTGTTCAGATGGAGACACTGAGGTGCAGAGGGGAACCCAGAACATTAGAATCTGAGCCAGGAATGGAGTCCAGGTTCTGGACTCCGATCTGCTTTCCTTTGGCACCAGGAGCCAACCTGCTCTCAGGGCCTCGGGCCTGCATGCACTCAGGGCTGTAGAGGTCCTGTTTAGTTCCGGAGAGCCTGGCCGAGGCTGGAGGCCTGCAGCATCAGTGGGGAGGGCGCAGGGCTGAGTGAAGGGCCAGAGTGGGGCCTTGGGGACATGATTCCGTTCAACCTGGAAGCCTTGGGGGCCGACAGAAAAGGACATGGAAGGAGATGGAGCAGGCGGAGGCCAAGTCTGTGGAGGGCCAGGAGGGAAAGGCCAAGTCTGTGGACGGCCAGGAGGGAAATGGAGCAGGAGGGAGATGGAGCAGGAGGGAGATGGAGCAGGAGGGAGATGGAGCAGGAGGGAGATGGAGCAGGAGGGAGATGGAGCAGGAGGGAAATGGAGCAAGAGGGCCAGGAGGGAGATGGAGCAGGAGGGCCAGGAGGGAGATGGAGCAGGAGGCAGCCAAGCCTGAGGAGGGCTGGGAAACTCCCTGCCGGCAGCACAGTGGCCCAGGTGGACATGTTGTCCAGGCCCCCGGCAAACACGACTGTGGTGTGATTTAGAGCCTGTTTCATGGTGTTCTTAACCAGCTGCTGCTCTGAGTGTGCCATCAGCTGTCCTCCCTCTGCCCCTGCTCCACCAGCAGCCGCTGGGACCCCTGGGGAAACACAGGCCAGCTCTGCACTCATCTCTGGTGTTGTCATCAGGCAAGCTGGGTGAGCCTGTGGAGCTACGACTGCAGGACCAGGGCCGTGGACGGTGCTCGTGGAGTGGGAGGGTGGTGGGCAGCAGCGGGGAGGGACAGTCCCTGCGGACTGCCTGGGAGGGTCCATTGTGCTGCATTTGCCGGGTCCCAGCAGGAAGCAAGGAGTGCAGGAGTCAGAACACGGGGGAGTTTAATGAAGGACTTTACAAGGCACAAGCTCCTGCCTCAGAACCCAGAGCTGTCACCTTGCCGCGCAGGGGGTCCGGGGAGGGGGCTTCCTGGCAGCGCAGGGGACCCCTGCTCACCTCTGGGGGACAAGCAGCCTGCTGGGTCCCTGCTGAAAGCAATGCACCGGGTTTGCACCCCGACCTCCGTGGCCCTCACCTGTCCTCATGAGGGCCAGGCACCCTGATAGCTGGTGCTTCTGAGGGCGCAGGGGCAGTGGGGCAGGGTGGATCCGGGGAGGGGCTATAGCAGCTGTGGGGAGAGGGCACCTGCTGGATCAGGTGGGAGCCTGGGAGCTTTGCTGCCTCTGTGCCCTGGCCCTGCCCCCCTGTGTGTCTGTCTGCTCACACTGGGTGGGGTTGGGGATGGGGTGGGGGAGGTGAATGGGTCCCAGCCCTGATTCCCCTCTGCTCTGGGTGCCAGACCCTGGGGTCAGAGTTGGAGCCTCCAGCCATGCTCCCCCAAGGGCAGGCCCAGCATCCCATCCTCAGGAGCCCTAGAGCCGAGCAGGGGTGTCCTCTAGTACCTCTTCTGTCTGCTTCTTGTGCCAGAAAATGTACCATCTGGGCCAGGAAACAGGTGGAAATGGGTCAGTCCAGGAACAGCGGGTCTGCGTTGGGGATGTGGGGCTTGGGGAGTCACTCACCCACCTCCAGCGACGACTGCCAGGGCCAGAGTAATGCAGAGGCTTCCAGCCGACAGGAGAGTCTGCGGGGTCCAGCCTGGGGGGGTGGGTGACAGAGGGGCCAGGGATTTGGGGAGCAGTCAGGGTGTCTTGGCTCAGAGAGAAAGCCACCCTCTTTCCTTGCTTCATTCACCCACTCAGTCAATTGTCTGCAACTACTTATTGAACACCTACTGTGTGCCCAGCAAACCCCAAGATGAATGAGACATGGCCCCTGCTCTCCAGGAGGGAGACAAGCAAGCAACTGCATGTGGCGTCCAAGGGAAGCAGGACAGGACGGGGCCCAGGGGCAGGAATCTGAGGAGGCTGACGAGCCAGCCCAGGGGCCTGGAGCTGGTCAGGGAAGGTTTCTTAGGAAACAGGAGTTCTGGCTGACTTTGAAAGACAAGTGGGAAGGCAGTCCAGGCCAAGGGCACAGAATGTTCAAGGACAGGAATCTAAAGCTGGCCAGTGTGGCTGGGAGCCCGAAGCTGGAGGTGAGCAGGGGTGGCTCACACAGGGCCCCCGAGGACGGTGGACTTTATGGGGGGGATTGGGAGCTACTGAAAGTTATATACAGGGAGTGTCATCGGCAGCTTTTCTCTTGAGAAAAAGGTCTTTGATTGCTGAGTAAGATGTGACCGGAGGGTGTTGTCATACTGCGGGTGAGAGGTGAGGAGGCCTGGAGGAGAGGGTGGGTGTTGGAATGAAAATATGGCAACACATTCAAAAATTATTTCCTAAGACTTGATGGTTCCATGACTGGGTAAGGGGGAGGGTGATTTCTGGTTCAGGGATTGAGCTCTTAGAGCGGGGCCATTTGCTAAGAGAGCCCCCGAGGGGAGAGCAGATCTGGGGGTGGAGAGGGTGTGGGCCTGTCAGCCTGCTGGCTTTGTGGCCGAGGGAGGGTCCAGGGACAGGCAGCTCTGGTTCTGCAGCGGGCCATGTGGAGCTGAGACATCTCGGAGGTGCCACCTTCACGGTGACAATGGAGAGCAGTGCAGGGCCGGACAGAAGTGCAGGCGATCGGGGAAGAAACAACAGGGAAGAGGGGAGAGAGGGTGGGGGGGTGGGGAGGGGTAGGGGGTGCTGAAGCCAGACGGCCGCTGGCCACTGACCTGGGCAGAGGGTGGGGTCTCTGCAGGTGAGGTGGTGTGCTCTGCAGTTGATGCAGTTGATGACCTCCAGTTTGAAGGGAAGGTCTGCGAGAGGGCGGGCAGGAGCCTTAGTGAGGGCCGGGTGCCCCTCACCCAGGCCCAGGCCGGGTCCCCAATACTCACCACAGGAGCGGTTGCAGGCTGCCCGAGGGTGAGATGGTGGAGAAGCTGAGGTGCCAGGGAGGCAGGCAGAGCCAGGAGGGGTGGGGTGTGGGCAGGAAGTGGCGCTGGGAGGTGTGGACAGGCACCCGGGAGGGGGCAGGGATGGGGGCGACTGG